TGAACCGTCGCAGGCTCTCTAGGAAGAGCGTTGCCGTGGACTGCGGTGACGAGGCCGAGAATCTGCAGTCCAGTCTGTGAGTAGCGGGGGAGTGTTGGATCCTCGGGATAAGCTGCTTCGTCTCCCGCTTCTGGGCCGGGTATGAAATTCAGCCCTATCCGTTTTGCTTCGTTTGTGTTGACTGTCGCAGGTGTTACGTAACTGTTGTCGGCGAAGTGGTAGAAAACTTCGGCGTTGACACTGTCGCGAGGATTGTCTTCGTCCATGGGCACGTCGACGGAGCAGAACGGAAGAGGTCTGGCTTCTTCCGATGCGTTGTCGACGTTCTGTTCATCCCATTCTGCTTCGTCCGCTGCTGAGGCGAAGGCTCGGTCACCACAAAAGCCACCTGTGGGGTCCTGATTCTTGTGCAATTTAGCGAGGTACGTCTGAAGGGTGAGTCGCTCGTAGAAGATTACGTCACGTGCTGCTACTGTTTCCTTTGAGTGGACGTTGAAGATTTTCCACGCGTTGTAATTCTTTTCGATGCCGAGGTGTAGTCCCCACTGTGCCTGTTGTGAAAATCTTCCCGCTCGTGCTTCTGGGGGTCGGTACTGTACCATGCATCCGAAAACTCCTAACATTTTTGTGCTGCCCTGCTTCCCTGTCCACAGCAGATGCGGTGATGCGTTGTTCGGGAGTGAGGACGACGACAGCAAGTTGTGCAGCATGACAGCATGGTCCGTTGCTGCAAGCCACTGGTGGTTGGGTAGCCGCATGCCACGTAGCAGTTTGCGCATGCTGTTCTGTAAGGTCCTGTTCATTCTTTCTGCAACACCTTGCTGGTGATGGGCGTAGGGAAGGGAGAGGAGTTGCTTGATTCCCCTTTCCGCCAAGTATTGCTTGAAGCGCTGAGAGGTGTATTCTCCTCCTCCGTCTGAGTGGAAGCTTTTCAGCTGTGTTCCCGATTCTCTCTCTGCTACTGGTAGCCAGGCGGCGAATGCTGCGAGTGCCATGTCGCGGCTGGGTAAGTTTCGGTGCCTGACGTATCGAGTGGCGGCATCGATGAAGGTTATTGTGTAATTGTAGGTAACTTGTCCTGGTTCTTGATTGAAGAGAATATCGCTGTACACCTTCTCGAGTGGTGCGTACGCGGGTGCGCTCGGGTTGTGGTGAGAAGTAAACGGTTGATGTGGTAAGTCGGCTTCGGGGCAGATGAGGCAAGTTCCTCGTGCCCGTTGAAGTTCTCTGCCGTCAGGTAGTAGTAGCGAATCCTTGTCTAGGACTCCTGCTCGTATTGTATTATTTAATGCTATGTTGCTCGGATGTCCTTTGCGTGCATGCCAGATGTCTTCAGGAGCGCGATGTCCGGGTGAGCATTGATACGCGTCGGATTTGGAGTAGAAGCTAGCGACGAAGTTAGCGCTTCTGTGGACTTCTCGTTGAGTCGGGTTCAGCTGCTGTGCGGGTGTTGGTGGTGCTTCGTCGACGAAGACTGGTGTCGTTGGTCCTGCTGCGGCCGATGATGTTTCTGCTGCTGCCGATGTTGTCTCTGCTGCTGCCGATGTTGTCTCTGCTGCTGCCGATGTTGTCTCTGCTGCTGCCGATGTTGTCTCTGCTGCTGCCGATGCTGTTTCTGATGCTGCCGTTTGTTGAATCGTTGCTAACGCGCGTGTTCGTTCTGCTTCAGGGATGGTGTGCGAGTACCAGAAGCCTCTCGGGCTGAAGTCGTGATCGAGATCCGGGGGATGTGTCCAATCGGCAAAGTTGACGATGGCATCGCTATCTGCAGAGCCCAGGTCTGGGACGAAATCAAGAACGAAGACGTTGTTCTTCAAAACTGCCCTTCCGATGTAGAGACCGCCCTTCCCGTGGTACATCTTAAACTCCTGGGTGGTGCTGTCGGCTTCCAAGTGGATGCCTTTTGCCATCAGCTGGCTGACACTCAGTAAGTTATAGCCGAGTCCCTCCGCGATAAGTACCTTTGACATGTGCAGTATAACGTTTGTTTCTCGTGACGGAAGTTGTACTACTCCTTGTCGTCGTGTGCGCAGGTTCTGGTTGTTGGCGACCGTGATGACTACTTCTCGCTGAAGTCGATGTTCGCATTGAACGAAGCGTCCTGAGGAGCACATATGTTGCCCGCAGCAACTGTCCAAGAACCAAGTGTCTTGTCCGAACGGTTCGTTTTGAGCGATGGCAGCGTACGTCGGGTTCGGCTGGAGTGACTCGCGGCGAGGCGTGCTGTTGTCAAGTTCTTCTTCCGGTGAGTAATGAGGTGGTGACTCGGTTGTGCATGAGTCTGTTATCTTCGCCATGCAGTTGACGATCTTTCTTGCTCCTTGTGCAGATTGTCCAGTTGAAGTCGTTGAAGCTTGGATTGAAGTTGTCGGCTTTGCTTGCGTTGAGGCGACTTGGGAGCTTGAAGGTCGAAGTTGTCGCTGTGGTGTTGTCTGACGAGACGGGCAGTGCGTACGAGGATGACCCGAGGTCTTGCAGATGTGGCAGAACGGAGGTATTGTCTTCACTTGTTGTTGTTGCCGATTGTTGTTGTTGTTGTATCGTCGCTGAGTGTGGAATGCAAACTCCGGTACTAATGTTTTCTTCTTGTGTCTTTCTTCTTGCGGGTCCATGTCCTGCTGCTCGACATGAATTTGGGCGCAGAGTGCCGCTTCGGAGATTCTCCCGTGTGCTCGTAGTATGGCGTGAGTGGAGCGCCAGTGGGGGCCAAGACCGCCGATGACTACCGTGACGAAGGCGTCTTCTGAGATTGATCCCCCGCATCGAAGAAGCTTGTCGCGCAGTTCGCGGCAGCGATTGATATAAGCCATGCTTTTCTCGCCTGGTTTCATTTCAATTGTTGTCAGCTGCGCCATTAACCGGCTTTGATTTACACTGTCTGTTGCTTGATACAGGTTCTTCAGGTGGTTGTACGCGAGCTCCGCGGAGTTGCCGTAGCCTCGGTAAGTTCTGATGTTCTGCTGTTGGGTCGGGGTGATGTTCCTCAACAGTATTGTGTACGCCATCATTGATTGATAGGTGTACTGCTGCTTCTCATACTGCGTGCCGTTTGTTGGATATGGCAGGGACCCGTCGAAGAAGCCAAGAATCTGTGCTCCCATCATCAGCTCGAGCTCGAACGACCAGGTGAAGAAATCTTTTCCGTCGAAAGGCTTTGTCGTTTGAAGTTTTAGGACATGCGCGAATTGCGATTGAACTTGTAATGCGTCCAGTGCTCTTTCTTGTCCCGGTGCAGATTGAGGTTGTGGCATGAAGCTGACGGAGCCGCGCTGGGGCTCGTACGGAGCGAAGGTAGGGTGTTGTTGTTGAATCCCGCGTGCGTAGGATGAGCCGTCGAGACTCATGGGTGTCACGTTGTTGTTGTTGCTGTTGTTTGACTGCGCAGGTACTCCTTGCTGATGCTGCTCGTAGAAGGACATGAAGGAAAAACATTTCTCCATCATACTTGGATCGAAGCCCGCGGGTGTTTCCGTAGACCCAGCTGCTGGTCTCGTGGTTGTCCCTTCCTCTGTCTGTAGGCCAGAGACAGGAGGTGGAGTAGGGGTAGTGCCGGGAGAGTCGTTGGAGGAGCTCCTCTCCTTTCTAGCAGACATGTCTTCTTGTATTGAGTGTTAAAGGAAAGTAACTTTGAACTCTAACTTGCTCTCATACCATGTTGGGCTGAGGTGCCCTAGGATCTTTGTAGAGTTAAAGTCTGAGTAGGATGATGTAATAGCGGAAGCATTAAATAAAAGTCCTTGAACCACCTTGCGCTAGTATGGTATGTGAGGGCAAAGTAAGTTGATTAAAACAAGCAAATACAAAGGTTTATATAAGAGTACAAGGAATACGAATAGATATGATTAAACTGTTTTACTGTTGCGATTCGATACAGTGCGACTCGGGCAACTGTTCAATGTCGAGTCAGTTGTGTGTCCTTGCTGTCGCGCTGCATTTGTCAAGTCAAAGGTCGCTGACCTTTGACCTTCTCGTAACCTCCAGCGGTTACCCTAACCTCCGAGGGTTGACTCGTTGCGCTTCGATTTGAGCTGCTTCGCTTGTGTCCTGAGTTTCGACACGACAGAGGCGTTTAGGACTTATTGTTCCCAACACTCATTACGTGGCAGCAAACCCAGTGCTGCGCCAGCATCCGCGATATGATGCACCTCATGCTGCTGCTGGCAGGAAGGGCGGCAGTGGTGCTGCTGGCACAGGTGGTAACCTGGTGCTCTGAGTCGTATCTATTGAGTGGCGGCAAACACAGCACCGGTATCCGAGATTTGATACACCACATGTCACTGGTGGCAGGGAATGTGGTGGGGTGGTGTGTCATCTTTGAAAGCTCATGGTGTTGTGAGTGATGTATTGAGTGGCAGCAAACCAGAGCTCTTGCTAGGATCTGAGGGCGTCTGATTCTGTCAGACGGGTCCCCCAGGCAAAACAATTGTTTTGTCTGATCTAGATTGGAAAATCAGATGGATATAAAAAAATTAGTCTGAAAATCAGACCATCAGACCAAAATGGTCTGATAACGAGAGCCCTGCAGCAAACACGGCGCCGGAGTCCATGATTTGATACATTACTTGTTACTGCTGGCAGGGTAAGTGGCAGTGGCGCTGCTTGCAGCAGTGGTAAGCTAGCACCCTCAGCATGTTTCTGAGAGTTATCTACTGAGTGGCAGCAAACACAGCGCCAGTATCCGCGATCTGATACACCAGGTGCTGCTGCCAGCAGCGGTGGCGGAAAGGCAGAGCCAGGTGGTAGCACCCTGTGAGGACGAGAGTACTTGTATTTGAGATCCTGCCTATTGTGTGGCAGCAAACACAGCGCCAGTGTCGGTGATCTGATACACCAGGTGCTGCTGCTGGCAGGCAGGGTGGTGTGAGTCATCCCCGTGTGGTGAGCCGTGCAGCAGCGTGGGTGTGAGATGCACGATGTCTGCCTGGTATGGCAAAGGCAGGGAAGAGGGACAGCAGGGAGCACAATGGCAGCAGCAAGGACATCTGAAGTTAGTGTTACGATCAACCACCATCCCTGTGGGATGGGCCGTGCAGCAGTGTGGGTGTGAGATGAACATTGTCCGCCCGGTGTGGCATGGGAAGAAACATGACAGGGAAAGGGAAAGAAACATGGGGGTGAGGGGGAAAGGAACATGGGGAGTGAGGGGGAAACGAACATGGGGGTGAGGGGGAAAGAAACATGGGGAGTGAGGGGGAAAGGAACATGGGGAGTGAGGGGGAAAGGAACATGGGGAGTGAGGGGGAAAGGAACATGGGGAGTGAGGGGGAGGATGCGTCGTTCCCATGTGATGGGCCGTGCAGCAGCGTGGGAGTGAGATACACGATATCTGTCTGTTGTGGGAGGGAGGTTGAAGGGGGAGAATGCGAAGTGCAGGTGGTGCAGGGCAGCACACCGTAGTAACCATGTGAGCAACATCTCTTCTTCAGCCTTTCAACCTAACTTGCTCGTGAACAATTTCGCCTGCCTCTGAAGATTTTACTGGCCCATACATCAATTCACCTGCCCATACATCAATTCACCTGCCCATACATTATCTCACCTGCCCAAACATCAATTCACCTGCCCATACATTATCTCACTCAGCTGCCATACATTATCTCACCGTGTGCATGGCCTACTCTAAGTGGACTCAAAAGAATGGGCACGTCAGACAGGTGAAGGAGGCAGGGCAGGAGGGGCGGAGAGGCAATGGGAGGAGCCGGGGGATGATCAGGTCAGGGCGACTCTTGCCTGCCAGTGGATGTCTCATGCATGACCTGCTGTGAGCAGTCTCCGCAGCACGAGCACATCAGAGAGGTGCAATGGCAGGGCGGGAAGGAGCAGGGGAAAGACGCGATGGGAGGGGGGTTGAAGGAGAGACGACACGGAGCAGATGATCAATCGCACTCTTACCTGTTTTGAGGCGCCTCAAAAGCAGATGATCAATCGCACTCTTACCTGCCCATGGATGTCCGATGCATGGCCTGATGTAAGTGGTCTCAGCAGCACGAGCACGTCAGAGAGATGGAGCAGCCAGGGCAGGAGGGGTGGAGAGGCGATCGGGGAGGAAGTGGAGGAGGAGGAAAGGGTGGGGAGTGGCGGTGGTGGGGTTGCAGCGTAGGTGAAGGTGGTTGGGTGGACAGCTGCATGAGTGAGCAGCACAAGGGAGGCTCTCTGTAAGGACAGGGAGAGGCAAGGGGAAACGGGATGAGAGAGAAGAGAGTGAGAAACAATAGAGGGGAGGAGAGAGCACAGAATGGAGAGAGGTGGGGGTGCAGCGAAGGTGAAGGTGGGTGGGTGGACGGTTGCATGAGTGAGGAGCATGGGGGAGGCCCTCTGGGAGGACGGGGAGAGGGAAGGGGGCCGCGGAGGGGGGAGAAGGGAAGGAAGCATAGATAGGAAAGGAGGGAGGTGAGGATGCAGCAGAGGAGAAGGTGGTCGGGTGGATGGCTGGATGGGTGAGAAGCACGGGAGAGTTTTTTTGGAAGGAAAGGGGGGGGGGGGGTCGGGGAGGGGGGGAACATAGTAAGAGAAGGCAGGAGGAAAGGAACAAACAGGAGGTTAAAAGAGCGCGGAGAAGGCGTTGTAAGGAGGGACTGGGTAAGGGAGAGATTTGCAAAGAAACAGTGGCACATGTAAGTTTCCGTGGAGTGAGTTCGCGTGGCACATGGTCTGTTGAGTTGGCATGCTCAGGAGTGGGAGGCTTACACACTTTCTCCACTGTGTGTGCATATGCTGTGCTTGGTGTGCGTGCATGGATCACTAAGTGTGCAGCAATATCAACGAGCATGCAAATACGACACTAGGTGTGCAAATACGACACTAAGTGTGCAAATACGACACTAAGTGTGCAAATACGACACTAGGTGTGCAAATACGACACTAAGTGTGCAAATACGACACTAAGTGTGCAAATACGACACTAAGTGTGCAAATGCGACACTGAGTGTGCTGACAGTAAGTGTGACAATAAGTGTACAAATACAGATTTGAGATTGCTCACATGGTGCTTAGTGCATAGGCCACGGCATGCGGACAGAAAGTCCATAACCAGCCGAGAATCGCCGCCCGCGCACGTCTCCAGCAACGACACATCATCAATCACGATGCACAGCTGGCCGCCACACCGAGCTGCGGGTGCCACGTCAGCAGCCCCAGATGGTGACGTGGCAGCTCCAGCACCAGAACAAGCAGCATCAGCAGCAGGTTGAGTCAGTGCAGTGAGATCAGGGTGAGAAAGGGGTTCAGCAGGGTGGGAAGGGGTATGGGGTGGTTGGGAGGAGTGGAGGGGGCAGCCAAGGGAGGTGACAGCAGAGCAGATGGAGGAGTAGAGGGCGCGAAGGGGGTTGGCAGAGTGAGGCGGGTTGTTGGTGGGGGGTGCATGAGAGGGCGGGTGAGAGGGAGGAGAGAAATGGTACACTCCTGCCTGCTGCTGCTGCTGCTGCTGCTGCGGCTCCTGTTGATGTGGCATTTCCTTTTGCTGCTGACACACTCGTGCATGATCTAAGCCACCAGGCTGCCACGTGTAGGCCTGTGATTGGCCGTCAATGATGGCCAGGCGATGCTGCCTGCAGAGGTCGGGGAAGTGAACTCCCTGGGGGGGAGAGGAGGAGGGAAACGGGAGAAGAGAGGGGAGACGAGAGAGGAGGGCGTGGGAAGGGAAGAAGAGAGGAGAGAGTGGGAGAGTGAAAGGAGTGGGGGAAGAACAGAAGTGAGGAGGGAAAACGAGTGGCAGTGAATAAAGAGGAGACGTAACCTTCCGATTCATGTGGGACATCTGACATCATGTTGCTTCCTTTCCTGGACATGCACCCATGCATACAACCTCACCATTCTCCTTGCAATGTGACTGTAGTGAGAAGGAGCTTGACTATACCATTCGCCTTGCGACGTGACTGTAATGAGAGGGAGGGTGCGCCAGTGCAACCAAACACACCGTTCTCACACACCCCTCCCCACCTCCCCTGCAACCTCCGTCCCCCTGCTCCTCCCCCCGCCTCTCCCTCCCCCCTCCCCCTTCTGGGGGCGGCAGCAGCAGGTGCGACTTGAGGAGGTGCAGCAGCAGGAAGCTTCCTTCTGCTGCCACGTCATCACACAGCAGGAGGGCGGCACCGGGCGGCACCGATCCCGACGCGGAGATCCCGAGGTGCGGGTTGATGGGGGAGGTGGGAAAGCCTGCCAACACTGGGATAATAGAAAGAGAGAGGCGAGAAGGGGTGGGAGGGGGGGGGGGAGGGGGAAGGGGGAGGGAGGAGTGTGGGGGCAAATGGATGAGGAGGTGAGGAAGCCTGTTAGCACCAAAACAGCTAGGGGCGATAGGGGGAAGGGGTGGAAAGGAAATGATTGAAGGGGTAAGGGGAATGGAGATGATTGAAGGGGTAAGGGGAATGGAGATGATTGAAGGGGTAAGGGGAATGGAGATCCCCCAGTGCGGGTTCATGGGGGACGTGGGGGGAGGGGGGAGTGACGGGTGGAGAGTGGAGGGGAAGGAATGAGCGTGGGGTTGTGGGGGAAGGCGCTCCTGAGGTGCGAGTTGATGGGGGATCTGGGGGAGAGGGGGGATGAGGGAGAAGAGGGGGGAAAGGGGGAGGAGGGGGATTGTGGAGGGAAATGAGGGACGGGAGGAGGGGCGGGGTGCGGGGTACCGGGAGATCCCGAGGTGCACGTTGATGGGGGCGGTGGGGAAGCCTGCTAGCACTGGAATAATCGTAAGAGAGGGGGGCGGGGAGCGAGGGGAGGAATGGACGACGGGGAGTCTAAGGGGAAGGAGAACGTGGGGAAGCGCCAGGAATGAAACAGCCAGGAGGGGTGGGGGATGGGGTAGGGGCGGGGGGAGAGGAGGAAGTGGAGAGGAGGGGCGGGGCGAGGTAGAGGGAGAGTCCGAGTTGCAGGCGGATGGGAGAGCGGGTACACGAAGTGGGGAGTGCAGGATTAGGGCGCAAGGGGAAAAGTGGGAGGGGCATTGTGCAGGCTACGTGGACGGCAGGCATGGCGACTCACTATTAGCGGACATGCTCTGATTCGCTCTGGCGCGTTTTAGCGCGCTCTGGTGCGCTGGTGCGCCTGCACGAATGCCGAGCTGGTGCTCTGCTGCGCACTCATGCGCTCTGGAGCGTTTAGGCGCGCTTTAGCGCGCTCTGGTGCGCCTGCCCGAATGCGGAGAGGAGATTCGAGCGGAAATGCCGCAGCAGCAGCGCCCCGCACGCGCGTCAATCGACTGCCTGCGGGGGGCGGGGCGACCGGAGCCTCCGCCCGACGACGATGAGCGGCACGCGCGCAGCTATGCGCGCATGCAGCTGTGTGCGCAGCTCGGCGCGCAGCCGCGCCGTCGGACCGGGGCGATGAGGAGGCGCGGTGGGCGAAGCGGGCGGGGTGGGCGGCGACGAGGTGGCGCGGAAGGATGGCGCGCCGAGTGGCGGAGGGTACGGGGGGGTGAAGGCGAAAAAAAACTGCGCGGAATGGCGGGTGGTGGTGCCTGGCGACAAGCACTGGTGCATATACGATTCAATGATGACCATATATATTGGTGTACCGGGTACCTTCTATCGAAGAATAGGTTTCAGGCGAAGGTGCTCCCTGCTCTCTGCTTTGACATTCATTGTGTGCGCCACGCGCTGACGCAACTTAAATTACAGTGAATCCACAAATCATGAACCATATATACACTATATACGGAATGCACAGCATTATCTGGCTGAATCAGCAGCTGTCACATCTGTCAGCTCTCAATCCTCCACTCAACAACACTTTCTTTCTGCGGAATCACCTCCACAATGGTCCTCCACTCCTTCCCTCTATCTCTCACCACCACTTCGTACTCCCCTGCAAACCCCTCAACCACAAACCACCCCTCCTCATCCGTCCTCCCCACCACACCCCTTGTCGTCCATTCCTCTAACAACCTTTCCAGCCTCTCCCCCGCCTCCGTCAACGACCAATCAGAACGCACCAAGTGTGCATTTTTCCTCGACATGGACGGTCGATCCAGGCCGGAACCTTCCCAAAAACCCCATAGCACCACCCCTTCTACTCCCCCATGCCCAAACGCCTCTCTTAGACAAATCTCCAAATCATCTGCCCTCACTTTTTCGTCTACAGAGCTCACATCTAGCTCTGTAACCCAAACTGGTAACCCTACATCTGCCAGGATGTTCCATGCATGCCGCATGTGGGCGCCAACTGGCGCGCTGATGTGGCACTGCGTGCTGAGCCCGCCAACTGGCGCCCCGCTGGCGATGAGCTGGCGGGCGAACTGCGCGTACTTTTCCGGGCGGCTCTTTTCATCTTCGCCGTCCTCTATGTGGTACTCGTTGAGGAAAAGGACGAGGGAGGGCGCGATTTGGGCGGCAAACTGGAACATGCGGGGAATGATGGATGGGCCGCAGCGGGAGGAGAAGAATCCCCCGTGAAGCATCTCGTTGTTGACATCCATGTGAGAGAAACAGTTGGGGTAGCGAGAGAGGAGGGATGTGATTCTGTTGTCAATAGCTTCTGTGTAGGGGGGAGGGGTGGGATGGGGAAGGTAGGTGAGAGAAGAGTAGCTTGGCCACAGCGAGAGGAGAACAATCCCCGTGAAGCATCTCGTTGTTGACATCCATGTGGAAAAACAGTTGGGGTAGTGGGTGAGGAAGGACGTGACTCTGCTGTCAATAGCATCTGTGTTGGGGAGGAATGGGGAGTAGGGGGGGGGGAGGGGGAAAGTAGATTGGGCACAGCAATAGGGGAATCACCCCCCATGCAGCATCTCGTTGTTGACATCCATGTGAGCGAAGCAGGAGGGGTAGCGAGCGCGGAGGGATGTGATTCTGCTGTTAGTAGCGCCCCACATAGAGCATGAGGGGTAGGGAGCGGGGGGGTAGAGGGAGGATAGGGACGAGCAGATTGAGCAGAGGGAAGACGGAGCAGAGGAGAGGATAGTAGGTGGAAGCCTCCTTCCGACCGCATGCTGTTTCAAACAGGGCAGTGCATTTGAATTGCCTTGCTCATGTGCAACTGCTCTCATTGTCAGCACACCTTCAAGGCACTGGACAGTCATGCTTGGAGCGACAGGGCAATAAAGGTGACTGTCGCCTGCATTACCTTTGAGGTCCGCGAGTGAGAGTTTGTCCACCCAAGGCGGGCGCATGTTGTCCCAGAAGAGACAGTGTGCTCTCATTGCCACTCCATGCTCCTGCACGCACGCAGACATGCGCGCATGATCAAACAGCCATAAGATAATCAGTATGGACTGAAACGATATTTATGTGCACATTGAACTGCATGTGCACAACAAAATTCACAACGAAATTCCCCACAATCCACTCTCCTCGTCCTTGCATCCCCATCCCCATCCCCATCCCCATCCCCATCCCCATCCCCATCCCCATCCCCATCCCCATCTCCATCCCCATCCCCATCCCCATCTCCATCCCCATCTCCATCCCCATCTCCATCCCCATCTCCATCCCCATATCCATCCCCATCCCCATCCCCATCCCCATCCCCATCCCCATCCCCATCCCCATCCCCATCCCCATCCCCATCTCCATCCCCATCTCCATCCCCATCTCCATCCCCATCTCCATCCCCATCTCCATCCCCATCCCCATCCCCATCTCCATCCCCATCTCCATCCCCATCCCCATCTCCATCCCCATCCCCATCTCCATCCCCATCTCCATCCCCATCCCCATATCCATCCCCATCTCCATCCCCCTCCCCATATCCATCCCCATCTCCATCCCCCTCCCCATATCCATCCCCATCCCCATCCCCATCCCCATCCCCATCCCCATCCCCATCCCCATCCCCATCCCCATCCCCCTCCCCATCCCCACTCTCACCCCCAGCTATCACCACACACACCTGCATCCACGTCACCATGGCATCAGCGTCCCTCCAGTCCTCCTCGCCTCGCCTCGCCTCCACACTCGTCCACTTGAGCTCGTTCTCACACACGCCCCAGCTGAACCACGCCCCACTCCCACTCCCACTCAACCTGCTTCCCTTTCCCTCACGAAAAATCTGTGGATCCTTTTCGTTTCCCATTCTCCCTCCCTGGGATCGGGAAAGGAAGAAGGACTGGTAGCGTGGGTTCCCCAGCAGGTCCCTCGAGTTCACACAGGTACCCAGGGGGAAGGCACGGCGCGTCTGATTGGCTGACACGTGGGCGCACGGGATTGGCTGGCCGGCGGCGGAGAGGAGGCGGAGACGCAGTGATCCCTTGCGGAGCTGATGGGGGAAAGAGGGCGTGGTGGGGAGGGGAGAAGGGGTGTGGGAGGGAGTTAAATGCGGTGTATTTGGGAGGGAGGAATTTTGTGTGGCGGAGAGGAGGCGGAGACGAAACGATCCCTTACGGAGCTGATGGGGGAAAGAGGGGTGTGTGTGCGGGGGGCAAAGGTTTGTGGTGGGAGGAGGATTGGGCATGTGGGCATGTCGGAGAGAGGGGGTGTAGGAAAAAGAGAGGGAGTGTGGGACGGGGAGAAGGGGTGTGGGTGGGAAGGGGCGGAGGGGGTGCGGGAGGGGTTGGGGCTTGGGAGCAAAAGTCACACCCTACAGTGAACAACCCCTCTCCACCCTTCTCCACCCCTCTCCACCCCTTTCCACCCTGCTCTACCTCTCTCCACCCCTCTCCACCCCTCTTCACCCATCTCTACCACTCTCCACCGCACTCCACATCTCACCCTGTCTGCTTGCTCGCGCAGCCATGGCACCCTCTCCCGCCACTCCACAGGCACCACGTGCACATCGGCCAATTGAATGCTGACACCTGGCGGCGGGCCCTGCACGTACAGCACTGCTTGCCTGTACGGCTTCTCTAGGCGAAACGACCCCCAGCACCGCACCCACTCCTTCCCGGAAGCTTCTACCGAACCAGCATTTACCCATCCCCCATCCACCCCTAGTGCGATGTTCACTGCATGTGATTTCACCCTTTCCTCCACTCCTTCTGCCTCTGCTGCCTCCGTTTCTTCTGCCCCTCCTTCCTCTGCTTTTTTTTCCTTTCTTGCAAAGAGGGGGAGGATTTTCTGTTCTCCCCGCCCGTGCTCTTTGTGCCGTCTGTCTCTCCCCAAACGCACCCACGCGCTCACAGCATACGTCACAAACAGACGAATTGGCCCACCGTCAGCTCTATCATCAGCCCGGGCAGTGCTGCTTTCAGGGCTCTGATTGGCTGCTGCGATGTCCTGAGCTGGCCCATGCCACGTGGCAGTCCTACCTGTCACTTCCACATAGGCACCTGTGGGTCCTCCTGCTAGAGGCACCGAGGAGACAGGTTCAATCAGAGGCAAAAGAAGGCTTGATGACATAGGATCGCGTTGTTTAGAGTCAGAGTGTTGCTCTTGCTGCCGTTTCTGCTGCTGTTGTTGCTGCTGCCGTTCCTGCTGCTGCCGCTGCTTCTGCTGCTGCTTCCACTGTGCATGCAGCTGCATCTGTCGCCGCTCAAACACGGTGCAGGGATGAGAGGCGGGCAGGGAGGAGGGCTCCACCGGAGGACCAACTGCAGAGCCCCATGAGCACGGCGCGTGCCACGTCAGCACCTCACAGCCACCCATGGGCCGCCAGCTAGCAGTGCGGAGGGAGAAATCGCCGTTGAGGAGGAGGTTGGGGCGAGGGGAACGGAGGGGAGGGTGGAGAGGAGGACGAGGAGAAGAAGTGGGGTAAGGTGGGAAAATTGCTGCCGCTGATGCGTTCGGATCAGCAAGAGAAGTGAGAGGAGTGAGAGGAGGAGGGAAATTAGTACGAGTAAGAGGAAGGGGAATGTTCACAGCAGCAGCAGTAGTGGGTGGAAGAGGGGGGAAGGTGGGCTGTGGGTCGGAGGCTGGGACTATAGCGAAAAGGCTAATAAGGAGGTCGAATGCGGGAGGGGGACCCTCGATGTAAGCTGTCACCTGATTGAGGCGATGATGAGGGGAAGAGTGGGGAGAGAGGGTGCATATGTGATGAGGACGTGGTACAACCACGTAAGATCGGGGGCGATGTGGTGCGATGTGGTGCGATGTGGTGCGATGTGGTGCAATGGGGTGCGATGGGGTGTGATGGGGTGCGGTAGGGTGCGATGGGGTGCGATGGGGTGTGATGGGTGTGATGGGGTGCGATGGGGTACAAATGGGGTGCGATGGGGTGCGATGGGGTGTGGATGGGAAGATGGGAGAGGCGATCGGCCCAGAGGGATGACTAATTGGTAGAGAAAGGTGAACAATAGCGTGCTGCACTGTGTGAGAGAGTGCTGTGCCACCCTCACCCCCTTTCGCTCCTTCTCATACCCCTCGACGTTGACTTGCGAGACGTCTATCAACTACTCATGGCTCCTCACCGGCTTTGTTTCTTTTCTCTCCTCGAACGAGCAACTTCGCATGGCTCTGCCTTGAAATTTTCACACACAGTGTGTGTGGTGCTGCTCTGACGCCCTTGGCGCAGCCTAACAGTCTCATAGCCATTCTCCTGGGCCAGCGTACCTGCATTGTATCAACCCACTTTGAGTGGAATGCGATGTGGAGCGGTGAAGTGTCCTTGCAGCCTCACCCACTGGCCCTCTTTCACCATGGCCCTGTTAGGGAGCACGTCACACAGGGAGCATGTCACACGGGGAGCATGTCACACGGGGAGCATGTCACACGGGGAGCATGTCACACGGGGAGCATGTCACACGGGGAGCATGTCACACGGGGAGCATGTCACACGGGGAGCATGTCACACGGGGAGCATGTCACACGGGCACAGGCTGATATGACATGCACTCGCATGCACGCGCATGCACAAACATGCACACACATGCACAAGCATGCACACACATGCACACACATGCACACACATGCACACACATGCACACACATGCACACACATGCACACATATACCTGCATACACACTTGCACAACACAGGAAGACACAGATGCATGCACGAGCACACACACTCACGAAAACCCCCACTCACCCCCCCCCCCCGTCCCCCTAGCTTTCCTCCCCCCCCCAACACACACACACAAGGACACCTGTATGCACGAACCTGCATGCTTGGTTGTATTGAGATCCTTCTTCGAAATCCCATCGCACCGTCACCAGCACTGGTACTGCCTGCCTCCCTACCACCCCCTCCCCTACCGCTCCTCCCGCCCCCCTCTCTGCCCCTCTCCCTCTCACTCCTCCTCTTGCCACCACTGCCGCCGCTGCAGCTGCTATATTCCTACCAGAGTCCCTCACGCTGACGTCAGCAGTGACGTTGTAACGGCAGTGGGGCGTGAGACGCCTGTGAATGTCCTGCGCTATACCGTGCCACGCCTCCTTGCGACCCATCAGCACTGCTGCGCACCGCTGCACACCGAGCCGACTTAAAACATCCTGGGTCATGCCGTGCCACGCCTTCTCGCGTGATGCACTCTCGCTCATCACGAGGCGACACGTGTCGTCGCCGCCTCGTAACGCGTACCACGCATGGAGCCCGTTGTCAAAGAACGGGTTCCGCGTCGCCCACGAATCCACAGCCATGTGCTGCCACGTGGCAGCAGCCGAAACGATCGTACCGATAGACTGGCCTAGTATTATCGACACTGGCCAAGACACCGTTCCGATAGACTCGCCTCGTCGTACCTAGCAGCAGCTGCGCGCCGATGCAGCAGAGGTTGCTGACAGGCAGGGATTGGCCTAGCGAAATCTCTACTTGAGATGAAACCCCAATCTATCAGACAAGACTCATGTTGCTTTTCGTTCTCTTCTTCTTAAATCGCTAAAGAAGAACTCCGGTGGTTTCTGTCAGCGGTGATACGAGCGAACTTGCTGCTTCCAGTCAAAAACGTCATGGAGTATTTTGGATATCACTAATGTTGCTGCTAGCAGCGTTTCGGTGAGATAATCGATCGTCGAGATAATCGAGGACAATCTGACGGGGATTGTGGAAAGGGAGGAAAAGCATTCATTCCTCCATGAGAAAACGATCACGATGATTCCTATGCGAGAAGAATCCCGTTGTGTCGCCTTTGACAGGCGGCGCGAGAGCATCCCGTGAAGTCGCTGTGGCGATACAAATATACATTCGCCCGAACATTACGAGTCCAATCCCTCAGCCATAAATAGAACTTCGTACCGAACCATTCTGCGAACGAGTTCTTCCGAACGAACCGAACCAATATACAGCATCTGCAACAAAGCGTCATCTCCAGGACATCGTTAAGCACAGCACTGCGAAAGTTCGCCACATTGGTTGATCCAATCTTTCGCACTCGGGGAATTTCCAAACCACTGAGAAGCGACGAGGTACAGAAAATCCAACTACCGAAAGCTGAAACCTCCACTTTCCGAACACGCTTGGGAAGAAAATCACCTCAACTCACTCACACGCCACCCGCAAACAACGTCGTTTATTCCTGACCAAATTCTAGGACCTTCAACTAGCTTTTAGGTCTGGCGGCGCGGTGAAGCTTTCAGCCATGGCCTCCGCTGCCATTTCAACCTTGAAACATCCCCCGCATTCCGCGCCAGCCTTTCGCCCGCGCTCGCATTTCCTCGGCTCCACCAACATCCAGTTCGCAAGCTCTTTCTTCCCTGTAAATTTAACGCGCGCGCGCACAGATGGGTCTGCCAATCGTAGGACGCCACGTGGCAACCTTTCAATCACTTTTGCAACGAAGGCAGTGTCTGAACAAACCACGTCAGCGACTCCTGCCACGTCAGCCACCTCCGCACGCCCAAAGGCCAAAATCTGCGGGGTGACGTCCGAGGAAGACGCCGCGTTTGCCGCCGCGAATGGCGCCGCGTTTGTCGGCATGATCCTGTGGCCCAAGGCGAAGCGGTCGATCGCTTTGCCAGTGGCGGCGCGAGTCGCGGCGGCCGCGAGGTCGGGCGGCGCAGTGCCTGTCGGCGTGTTCGTGGACGAAAATGCGGCTGAAATCGAAGCAGCTTGTAGAGAGGCGGGAGTGTTCGTCGCGCAGGTATGGCTTCTAGATGGAAACGACGAGAAGCTCTCGCCATGTCTAACTTTCCATCGTGCAGGAAACGGGGGAGACGGGAGGAGACGGGGGGAGACGGGGGAAGACGGGGGGAGACAGGGGGAGATGGGGGGAGATGGGGAGAGACGGTGGGAGGCGGTGGGAGGTGGGACAGGTCACAGTTGGAAGACGGTAGGAGACGGTTTGTGTAGATTAGAAAGGGTTAGTTCCGTGATCCAGTACCCACAAAGCATACCTCAGATTCAGCAACCTATCTATGACGCCCTCATTATCACCCAGGTTGGGCATATATGTTTGCTGATCCTCGCATGCCATGCTTATGACCCTATGCCTTCATCCCCGCTTACATCACCCAATGCCTTCACCCCCGCTTCCATCACCCAATGCCTTCACCCCCGCTTACATCACGCAATGCCTTCACCCCCGCTTATATCACCCTATAAAAATTCCCATGCCGTCCCTCCCTCACCACCGCCTGCCCAACCCTCTCTTGAAGCAAATCTGACAACATCGAGTCATCAACAGCACACCTGGTTTCAACCATTGGTCCTCGCCTCGCTCCATGTGATGCTCGCTCCATGTGATGCTCGCTCCATGTGATGCTCGCTCCATGTGATGCTCGCTCCATGTGATGTTCGCTCCATGTGATGTTCGCTCCATGTGATGCTCGCTCCATGTGATGCTCGCTCCATGCGATGCTCTATCGTGAATCACACGTCACCCTCGCCCCCCCTCCTTGTCACTCACACGCCACCCGTCCTTCTCAGCTGCATGGAGAGACAGCGCGAGCAACTCTCCCCCACCTCCCTCCCTGGCTGTCCACCATATTCGTGCTTCACGCCGACTCATGCGGCGTCGTGCAGACCTCTCTGCCCTCCTTGGTTGCTCCTCCCTCCACACTCTCTCCCTCCATCCCCGTACCCCTCCCTCCCACCCCTCCTTCTCTTCTCAGCTTCACGGAGGCACAGCGGGAGCAGCTCTCCCTCACGTCCCCCCTTGGCTATCCACCATCTTCGTGCTTCACGCCACTCACACGCCATGCCATCCTGTGAAACCTTCTTTCCTCCCTGGTTGCTTCTCCCAACCCCCCCCACCCTTCCCCCCACCCCAGCTGCATGGAGACACAGCGCGAGCAGCTCTCCCCACCTCTTCCCCATGGCTGTCCACCATCTTTGTGCTCCCTAAAACCCTAAACGCCAACCCACACACCACCCTATGATCCCCCTGTTCCCCCCTTTCCCCGCCCCTCCTTCTCAGCTGCATGGAGAAACAGCGCGTGCATCTCTCCCCCACCTCCCTCCCTGGCTGTCCATCATCTTCGTGCTTCACGCCGACTCACATGGCGTCGTGCAGACCCCTCTTCCCT